GTGTGTGCAGGAGGCAGCCAGTCAATGACGCTCTCATCATTGATGTTTCTATATCTCTCCCTCTCTCTTCCTCTCTCTGAAATCAATAAAGGCATACTTTTAAAAAATAAAATAAATAAATTGTATTAAAATTTCAGTCTGAACTATTTGAAATAGTGCTTTTGTAGGTCATAGATTATGTGCATTTAAAAATTATTTTAGTAGATACTGATGGGGTAGGGAGTTTTAAGCAGGGGAGTGAGCGATGTAATGTTTAAAAAGAGCATTCTGCCTACAGAATCAAGTGGATGTCCTTGTGATTCTCCACTGATTTCTGTGGGTCTGTGTTTGCCCTGACTGCATGCCAGGCCCTGACGAGGGACCAAGTAGAGCCAATCCCTGCCCTTGAGCAGACAGTAATAACAAATAAATAATAAAGATGTAATAAGTCAGGAAATAAATACAACCAGAAGAAACATGATAGGACAAGGATAGGAAGTGATAGGTGTGTGTTCAGAGGAGGCCTCCCTGACAGGTGACATTTAAGCAAAAATTTGAGGGAGGAGAAATAATCCATAGTAGATGTGCTCCAGGCAGAGGGAACAGTCACTGCAAAGGACCTGAGGCAGGAGTGTTCCTGCCTTGTTCAAGGTCAATCAAGAAAGTCATAGCTCTGTGGCTGGAGCAGAGCAAGTGAGGGGGAGAGTGGGCAGAGGTGATGGCAGAGAGACAGGGCCAGATGTTCATGCAGAACCTTGTGGACTGTGTGTGTGTGGGGGGGGGACTTTGGTGTTCATCCTGAGTAAGGTGAGAGCCATGGAGGGTTTTGAACAGAGAAGGGATGTGACTTGACTCAGGTTTTAACAGGCTCTCTCTAGTTACATCCGTGCCTCTGTCACAGTTGTCCTTGTCTATCCAGGCCCCTCTGTCGTCAGGAGTCCCATCCTGGGCCCTGAGACCTCAGGATCATAATCGGGTCCTAATACCAGCCTTGCCAGTGGTCCATCCGCCCGGGGACCCCGAGCCCGGGGGACTCCGAGCCCAGGGTCCAGAGCTGTTGTGGGGGCCGCAGTAGCTCTGACCCTGGTTCTGTCCCTCCCCCCAGTCTTCCTGCTCCTCCCAGGAGCGCCTGCACCAGCTGCCCTACCAGCCCACCGTGGATGAGCTCCACTTCCTCTCCAAACACTTCGGCAGCACGGAGAGCATCACCGACGAGGATGGCGGCCGCCGCTCCCCCGCTGTGCGGCCCCGCTCGAGGAGCCTCAGGTGGGCCGGCGCCCCCCAACTCCAAGCTGGTGGTCTGGGGGCTTGTGCACTGCGAGCCCGCAGCCTCCGCGAATAGGCAGGGGACTGGACAGCGTGGGCTTCTCTCCCTGCAGCCCCGGGCGCTCCCCCTCCTCCTATGACAACGAGATCGTGATGATGAACCACGTCTACAAGGAGAGGTTCCCGAAGGTGCGGCGGGGTCGGGGGCGGCCGCGGGGAGGCTGGGCGGCCGGAGCCCTGCTCGCCTTAGCGCCGCGCGTCCCCTGGTGGCCGGCGTGCTCCGCGCAGGCCCCTGACAGCCGCAGCCTCTGGGCTAAGCCCCGCGCCGTCAACCGCGCCCCGCCCCGCCTCCATCCCCCCCGCAGGCCACCGCGCAGATGGAGGAGAAGCTGCAGGACTTCAGCCGAGCCTACGAACCTGACAGCGTGCTGCCGCTGGCCGACGGCGTGCTCAGCTTCATCCACCACCAGATCATCGAGCTGGCCCGGGACTGCCTGACCAAGTCCCGCGATGGCCTCATCACCACCGTCTACTTCTACGAATTGCAGGAGAACCTAGAGAAGCTGCTGCAGGATGTGAGTGAACAGGAAGGCCATTCCATCCCGGACTCTGCACCCCAAAATCAGGCCAATGCCTTCCTTCATCCCACACCCATTTAGGGGGCTCCTACTACGTTCCAGGCGCTGGTGGGGAGCTGAGGATTCAGGGGTGGAAGAGAAGGACATGGTCCTGATGGGGGAGGCAGGTATTTAACTTCCTGCAGGTCTTTACTCAAATGCCACCTTGTCAGGTTGGCCTTTTAGACCCCTCTATTTAAAATGTCAAACTCTGTTCATACACCACTGTCTCTTCAGAGTTTACGTTAGCACTTAGCACCATCCCTCAGAATGCGTTTTTTTATCTTATTTCTTGTCTCCCCTACTCCAATGTCAGTCCCACAAGTGGGTGGCGAGATATCCTTTTTGGTCACTGTTGTATTTTGAGTGCCCAGCACAGTGTATAGCACATAGTAGGTAGTCAATAAATGTTGATTAAATGAATGGATGAATAAATGAAAGTAAACAAGATAATGCCCCCATTCAATGATAATGCATAGTATTTTTTGAACACCTAGTGTGTGCTGGGCACTATGTGCTAGTTACATCTGTGCCTGTGTCACAGTTGGGAACAAAACAGTGAACAAAACTGCTTTCCTGGGGCTGATAGCCTACCATGGGAGATGGACAGGAACATGAAAACAAATAAATCAAGGAAGTCAATGATTTCAGCTGATGCTTAAGGCTATGAGGCAAATAGAATAGGGCAACCAGATGGACTGTTAGGGCTTCCCTTGTAAGGTCCAGGAGGCCTCCCTGGAAGAGTGGCTTTGAAATTGAGAGAAGAATAATGAGGAGTTGGCAGCTATAAAAAGCTTGGGGGAATGTGTGTTGAGCAGGGTGAACAGTACATGCAAAGGCCCTGAGGTGAAGAGGCAGTCTAGGAAATCCCAGGAACACAGAAGCTAAGTGACTGTACTATCTTGAGAAGATGAAGTTGGATAAGGGCAGAAGGACCAGAATATGGGGCTCTAGGCTCCCAGCACTCTGCCCTGAAGGACAGCATATTGGTATGATAATATACTTTGGCATCAAATCTGATTTGAGTTTGGATTCTGCCACTAGGTCCATGGGAATCGAGAGCACAGACTTCAAACAGCATAAGTTCACATCCAGCTTATCACTTATTTACTGCACAGCCTTTGCCAAGTCACTTAACCTCTCTGTGCCTTCTGCTATAAAAAGGGGTTTGTAAGGTCCAAGAGGCCTCCCTGGAAGAGGAGGCATCACTCATTCTTTAATGCCACAAATATTTATTAAGCACCTATTCTGGGGCCAGCGCTGGCCTAGAAACTGGAGAGTTCTTGCCCTAGGGGAGCTGACATTCCAGCAGGAAGAAACAGAAGATAAATGATAGGCATCAGGACTGGGACTAGGATGAGGCAAATGATTAATTCCCCCCCTGAACATTAAACTAATTACTGAAAAAGTTGAAAAGTAGGTATATTAAAACTTAACATTATTTTAGGCTATTTTATTTATTTAAAAAACCCAGAATTTGTTATATTTTTACTTTCCTGGTTTTAGTGGAAACAAACTTACCAATAATCATATTTTTATTAAAACCATTTATGATTTAAAAAGCACACATAGATTTTTCCTTTTTGCTTCAGGCTCCAACATACCTGTGCACAGCACTTGTTGGATCCTGTCCTTATTTAAATTTTCTTTTTGCTTGTCATGGATTTTTTGCATTCATTTTGATTTTTCAAATATTGTATTAAAGTGTTAGTGGTCTTGAAGAGTGAAGTTTTTGGTGCTAAGGTGAGTACCTCGTCACCTCATCCTGATGGGCAGATAGATAAATTAATATATGACATGTTTGAAGGGTATTTATGTGCTATAAAAAAGGAGTAGGATAATGGTGATTGAGGGTGCTTCCAGGAGGTGGGGTGCAATTTTACATTGGGGGGGGAGATTAACTCCATCCGGTTGCCCTATTCTATTTGTTTCATAGCCTTAAGATCGCTGAAATCACTGACTTCTTAGATTTGTTTGTTTTCATGCTCCTGTCCATCTCCCATTCTAGGATAGCAGCCCCAGGAAGACAGGAATATTTCTCTGGTGTGTTCACTGCTGTGTTCCTAGTGCTCCTCAGTTATTATCTCCATGAAGAGGTGACAACTGAGTGGCAACCCGAGGGAGAAGTAAGAAGCCACTCATGGATCCAAGAAGAGAGCCTGTCAGTCAGAGGGATTCTAACTCAGCTCAGATTATAGGGCTGTTTTGAACATAAATTGAATGAGTAAGGTTTTTGGACAGTGTCTGTTATAAAAATAGTGATCCTTATTTTTACCGTGAGGCCTGGGCCTCAATTTTCTCAACTATAAAATGGGACAGCAACAGTAGTGTGTAGTCAGTGGGGTTGGGAGAGGGGCCTGACTGAGGCAGGGTACCTGTAAAATTTGCCATAATCCCACCTCCATGCACATTTTGTGTCCCCCTTCCCAGGCTTATGAACGTTCTGAGAGCTTGGAGGTGGCCTTTGTCACTCAGCTGGTGAAGAAACTGCTCATTATCATCTCTCGCCCTGCGAGGCTGCTGGAATGCCTGGTGAGGGGACTGGGAGGGCGTGGAGGGCTGGTGGGGCACCCTCAGAGCCCACCGCAAGCCTTCCTCTGCCCTGCCTTAGGAATTCAACCCCGAGGAGTTCTATCACTTGCTAGAGGCAGCCGAGGGCCATGCCAAGGAGGGTCACCTTGTCAAGACAGATATCCCTCGTTATATCATACGCCAGCTGGGCCTCACCCGAGACCCTTTTCCAGGTGACAGCTGGTGGGCACAGGGGGGTGGAGGTGAACCCACGGGAGCCTAGCCTCCACTCACTCTCAGTCCCTTCCTAGACGTGGTGCATCTGGAGGAACAGGACAGTGGTGGCTCCAACACGCCAGAGCAGGACGACCTGTCTGAGGTAAGGCCAGGTGGCCCAGCAGTCAGCACTCTGGTTCTGTCCAGATAGGCAGGGGCTTACCTCCTGGCTCTCTGCCCTCAGGCTAGGTAGATCTTTTGGTCTCTTCTCTGAGCCTCAGTTTCCCCATCTGTCAAATGGGTTAATAACAGCGCTTCCTCCATGGGCCTTTTTCTTTTTATGGTAAAATATACATAACATAAAATGTATCACTTTAACCCTTTTTTTTTTTTAGTTTATCTTTATGGTTGAAAGTATTACAGGTGTCCCATTTTTTCCCCCCCAATTGACCCCCTCCACCTCACTCCCACCCCCTCCCCAGGCCTTCACCCCGTTATTGACTGTGCCCATGGGTTATGCATACATGCACATAACTTCTTTGGTTAATCTTTTCCCACCCTCCACCTCCTTCCCTCTTTCCTCTGAAATATGATCGTCTGTTGCATGCGTCAATGTCTCTGGGTCTATTTAGTTCTTCAGATTCTTTTGTTCATTAGCTTCTTCTTAAAGAAGACCCTTCAACATTTCCTGTAGTGCTGGTCTGGTGGTGATGAATTCCTTTAGCTTTTTCTTATCTGTGAAGCTCTTTATTTGACCTTCAATTCTAAATGATAGCTTTGCTGGGTAGAGCAATCTTGGTTGTAGTTCTTTGTTTTTCATCACTTTGAATATTTCTTGCCACTCTCTTCTGGCCTGCAAAGTTTCTGTTGAGAAATCAGCTGACAGTCATATGGGTCCTCCCTTGTAGGTAACTAACTGCTTTTCTCTTGCTGCTTTTAAGATTCTCTCTTTGTCTTTAACCTTTGGCATTTTAATTATGATGTGTCTTGCTGTGGGCCTCTTTGGGTTCCTCTTATTTGGGACCCTCTGTTCTTCCTGGACTTGTAAGTCTATTTCTTTCTCCAGGTAGGGGAAGTTTTCTGTCATTATTTTTTCAAATAGGTTTTCAATTCCTTGGTCTCTTTCTTCTTCTTCTGGCACCCCAATAATACAAATGTTGGGTCACTTGAAGTTGTCCCAGAGGCTCTTTATACTATCTTCATATTTCTACTTTAACCATTTTTAAATGAACAATTTCGTGTATTTAGTACATTTACAATCTTGTGCAGCCATCACCTCTATCTAGTCCTGGAAGATTTTCATCACTCCAAAAGGAAACTATACCCATTAGGCAGTTATTCCCCATATCCTTTCCCCCTGGTCCCTGGCAATCACTGACCTGCTTTCTGTCTCTATGGATTTGCTTGCTCTGAACATTTCATATACATGGAATCATTCCCTCTGTGGCCTTTTGTGTCTGACAAAGTGTTTTCAGGGTTCATTCATGTTGTAGCATGAATCAGTGCTTCATTCCTTTTTATGACCAAAATAATATTTCATTACATGGATATATCATATTTGTTTATCCATTGTCCACTGGTGGACACTTGGGTTGTTTCCATTTTTTGGCTATTGTGTGAATAGTGCGGCTATAAATATTTGTGTACAAGCATTTGAACAACTGTTTCAATTCTTTTAGGTATATACCTAGCAGTGGAAATTCTGGGTGATATGGTAATTCTATGTATAATTTACTGAGGAACCATGCATGGGGTTTTGAGTGAGTTGAGTGTCTCTCTGTGTTAAGAGGTCAGCATAGTAAAATTTGCAATAATCCCACTGCCAGGCCAGCGACACTTTGGAAGATGTTCCGCATGTCTAGTAGAAACTACCTGCCATAACGGCCATGCGTGTATTTCCTCTAAACTGTAGTGTTTTTCAAAAATTTGAAGCAAAATATAGAAATCAGATTTTTGCCTTAAATCTGGGGTTGGGCCTTCTTTTGAAAAAATCAGAAGTTCTAACAACACTATGGTGGAACCACTGGCACTGAGTGGGGGCTGCCCTTGATGTGGGGCACCTACCCACAGTCACCCATGGCCCCTGCCTGACCTGTCTGGCCCCTGAAGGCATTTGAGCTTCTAACCTTTTTTTCCAATTTTGTCTATTAATTCACACACATATAAACACATACACATATCTTTCCTATATGTATGTAAATATATATATTTAAAAGAATCTCACTATACGTGCCATTTGTTTAATTTTTTGAATAGGTAATGGAATGACATCACTCAAAAGTCTAAAACTAAAAAGGTATTTATCTTTGATTGTTGTTTGTAGGATTCTACATAATTCCATTTAATCAAACTTGTTAATTGAGTGATTCGAATCTTCCATCTCCCTATTCTCTCTCTCTCTGTCTCTCTCTCTCTCTTTTTTTTTTTTTTTGGCCTGATTGATCTCATAGTTTCTGAGATATGTGTTAAATCCTTGTTTTGAGCTATTTCTCCCTGTAATTCTGTCATTTTTTGTGTCAGATATTTTTAGGCTATCTTCTTTTTTTAAAAATTATTATTCATGTATTTATTCCACAATCAAAATAAATCATAATTTAAAAGTCATAACATTTTTAAAAGGTAAAGGAGACTGTATCACAGCTGCATTAATAAACAGACATCGGTCTAAAATGCAATACCAAACAGGTGTTCTGTTCCCATGGTGGAATAAATACATAATAATTACACATAAAATTTCACTAAAGATCTCAGATGAGGCAAATAATCCTTTGAAACAAACTGTCCAATGAATAGAGGCATGCTGCCAGTAATGTCTATTAACATTTTACTGCAAGCTCGGAAAATCCCCAAGGTAACTACAAACTCAGACCCTTTGTTTCATGTGCTTGGCTTTAGCCTTTGCCTTCCTTCCTAAGACACATCCAAATCCAGAAAGGCTTCTGCATCCCATGCTCAAAAACACCACCATAAGTCCCCAAGGGCCTCAGCACAAACTGCCGTTAATAAGCCTTCATGCAGCCTTTATCCAGAACCTCCAGGGAAGTCAAGAGCCCAAACTCAAAGAACAGCAGCATTTCTTTGAACAATAGTTTTGATTGTCCAATGAGCTCTGACAGGCCATGTGCATTTCATAAACAAACAAAAATATTGTCTTACTATCTTTATTTTTTCTTGCAAAATGTTAAGTTGGCCATTCAAATAAAAAAATTTTTTTTACAGAAACAATAAAAATTCAAAGGGCTTATGCTCAAAAGGAAACCAGTCCTTCGCAACCTAACTCATTTGTTTTTGGGCTGTGAAGAGGAAGATCAGGCAGTAAATGGTCACTCCCACTGTCATGCCATGGTGGTCTGGTAAAGCATTTGGTCAAGCAGGCTGCATTTTAGGTGGATGGGCACACCATCAGATTTCTGGAAAAATTTCTGCAGTTTGGGAACTTTGTTTTTCCAAGCATAATTATATGCAGTAAAATTGGAAGTTGATATGGCAAATATGAGAGGCGATACCACAGGCTTTAATCCCTCTGGGCTGTAGGTATCAGAAAGAAGCCCATGCTCCCACAAATTTCTGTGTGAAGCCACTAAACTTGTAGTACATGATGTCTTGTGTTCAGCTATTCACAGCTGCTGCCTGTGAGACTGCCCCAAGGAAGGTTTAGGCTAATTCTTAGGAGCATATCAGTTCAATTTTTAATTTAAAAAATATATATATTTTTATTGATTTCAGAGAGAGGAAAGGAGAGGGAGAGAGAGAGAAACATCAATGATGAGAGAGAGTCATCGATCGGCTGCCCTCTGCACGCCCCCGACCGGGGATTGAGCCCACAACCTGGCATGTGCCCCGACCAGGAATGGAACCCTGATCACCTGGATCCCAGGTGGACACTCAACCGCTGAGCCACGCCCAGCCAGGCTCAGTTCAATTTTTAAAAAACGCTTTTATTGATTTGAGAGAGAGAGGAAGGGAGAGGGAGAGAGAGAAAAAAAACATTGATGTGAGAGAGAAACATCAATCGGTTGCCTCGAGCACGCACCCCGACTGGGGATCAAGCCTACAACCTGGGTATGTGCCCTGTCCAGGAATTGAACCAGTGACCTTTCAGTGCACGGGACAATGCTCAACCAACTGAGCCACACCGGCCAAAGCTCATTATTTTTTTAATCTCATAGATTTTTTTGGTAATGTATCTGTTAACAATTTCTTTGTCCCTAAGAAAAAGAAAAATAATTTTCAAAAAAAAAGTATACAGTGAAAAACCTTAGATCCACCCTTGTTGTTTACGGCTCTATGTCCACCCAAATATTATTAGTATATGTGTGCTGAGCACCCCCCAAATATGATTATATAGTTCTATTTTGCCACTTTTTTTTTTTAACACAAAACCGTACAGTACATATTATTACTTGCTTTTCCCCCCCACTTAATAAAATACTTGGGAGAACTTTCTGAATCAGTGTACTGATAAATTTCTCATTCTTTTTAACAGGGCACAATATTCCTTTATACAGATGCCCATTATGTGTTTATTTAACCAATTTCCTATAGATGATCATGTCAATTGTTTCTAATAATTGCAATGAGCAAGATATGTCATTCTCACATGTACAAGCCTATCTGTAGAATTATTTCAAAAATTAAATTGCTGGATCAAAGGGAATGAACATTTGTAATTCTACATATACACCCAAGTGCCTTCCATGGGATTGTACCAATTTATACTCCCAAAAGCAAGGTATAAAAGTGCCTGTTTTCCCACAGCTTTACCCACAGAGTGTGCCAATCTGCTAGGCGAAAAATGGTATCTTGGGTAGTTTTAATTTGCCCTTTTTTATTATATGTGAGGTTGAGCATCTTTTCATATGGTTAAGAGCTCTAAGTCTAGTTCACAGATGTTGCCTGTTTTTCTCTTCAATTGTTAGGCTTTTTGTTATTGGTTTCTGGGAGTTCTTTCTACATTAGAGTGATTATTTTGTAGGCTTCTTTCCTAATGGAAAGAAGTTGGGCATATGGCTTCAGAGTCAGACAGTCTTGGGTTCAAGTCCTGCTTTTGTTACTCCCTCGCTGTGGCACTTGGATGAAGGATGCACACCCTCTGTGCCTCAGCTTCCCCATGGGTAAAATGGAATAATAAGAGTCTCAATCTTATGATGATGGCGGTGGTCTCCAACTTTCCCCTGCAGGGCCGCAGCAGCACCACCAAGGCTAAGAAACCGCCTGGAGAGAGTGACTTTGAGACCATCAAGCTCATAAGCAACGGTGCTTACGGGTGAGCCACCCGGGGCTCTGGAAGGGGGAGGGTAGTGGAGGCCGGGTGTCTCTGAGGTGATGGCTGGCCCTTACTCTTTCCCCTTGCAGTGCTGTCTACTTGGTGCGGCACCGGGACACGAGGCAGCGCTTTGCAATGAAAAAGATCAACAAGCAGAACCTGATCCTGCGCAACCAGATCCAGCAGGCCTTCGTGGAGCGCGATATCCTCACCTTTGCTGAGAACCCCTTTGTGGTCAGCATGTTCTGCTCCTTTGAGACCCGGCGCCACCTCTGCATGGTCATGGAATATGTGGAAGGTGTGGCTGCCTGCAGGGCTGTAGGGAAAATGGGGAGATTCACGCTGGTCAGGGCTGCTGGGTGGCCTGCCTGAGCCCCAGTCACCATATTGACTATCCACCTATTTATCCACCCAGTCATTGATCATCCATTCTGTCAGTTTATTTCTATCCAGCCATCTATTCGTTTATCTATCTGTTTCCATTTCATTCAATATAGATACCTCCATCCAATTATCCATCTATTCATCCATTCTTCCACCTATTCATTTGCTAATCCGTTTTTCCATCTATACATCTGTTTATCCATTATATGTCTATTTTTTTTCTTCTAATTAATAGACTTCATTTTTTAGAGCAGTTTTAGGTTTACAGAAAAAGTGATTGGAAAGTACATTGAGTTCCCACATACCCCTTTCCTCCAGTCTCCCCTATTATTTACATCTTGCATCAGTGTGGTACATTTGTTATAATTTATGAATGAATATTGATACATTATTAACTGAAGTCCATAGTTTATATGTTAGAGTTCATTCTGTGTTGCATATCTATTTTTCATTCATCCCTCTTTTTATATATCTAGCCATTCATTCATTCATCAACTTAATCACCCACCAACTTACCATCTATCCATCTACCAATACCTATTTATCTATTTATTAATTCATCATCCATCCATCCTTCCATTTATTATCTATTTTTATTTATTCATCCAAATCTCCATTCTAGCAGCCATCCCATCTAGCTGCCTTTATCCATTCATCTACAATTCATTCATCAGTTTACCCATCCATCTATTTACTGTCCATCTATTTATCTATCCAACCAACAGTGTATATATTTTTCATCTGTTTATACATCCATTCATGCTTATAATTATCCAAATATTAATACAGCATTGCCCAAACACACACACACTATGGTTATTAGGATACATACATGCTCTCATGGGGCTACAACTCTGCCATCCCTAAGCCTCAGTCAACCATCCATTCATATCATTGTCTCCCTTATGCCACATGCTGTGCTATGTGCTGGTGGCACAGTCGGGGCCAGACAGACACACCTCTCCCCCACTGAGGTTATATTCTGGGTAGACAGACAATAAACAAGCAAAACAGGCCAAAGGTGATCAGGTCGTTTCATATAGTGAGGACAGTAATGAGGACTTTAAGGCTCAAGGAGGCCATAGGGCCGTAGGTGGGCAGGGGGCCTCTCTGAGGATTGCACTATACCTGGAAGAGGGAACCCCAAGCACAAAGTCTGTTAGGTGAAAAGACATCTGGATTTTTTTTTTTTTTAATATCTTTATTGATTTCAGAGAGAGGAAGGGAGTGAGAGAGAGATAGAAACATCAATGATGAGAGAGTTGTCATTGATCGGCTGCCTCCTGCACCCCCTGGACTGGGGATCGAGCTGGCAACCCCGGCATGTGCCCTGACCGGGAATCAAACTGTGTTCTCCTGGGTCCTAGGTCGATGCTCAATCGCTGAGCCACGCCAGCCAGGCGGCATCTGGATTTTAAGGCAGCGATTTTCAACTGGTGTGCCACAAGAATTATTAAAACATGTAATACCTGACTAGTCAGTGGCACTGACCTCTTTTTTTCACTTAGATTTCGAATAAAAAAATGACAATAGCCAGCACAGCAATAGCCATTTGGTGTGAATGAATCAAAATTTTACCTATTTTTATTTGTCAGACTGGCAAAAATATATATTTTTTGGTGTGCTGCAGAATTTTAGTTGTTAGTTTATGTGTGCCATGAGATGAAAAAGGTTGAAAATCACTGTTTTGAGGAGTAGCAAGGAGGAAAATGGAGCTGGAGTCAAGTGAGCAAGTGAGAAGGAGGGTGGGGTAGATGAGGGTGGAGAGGTAGGGAGGTTAAGCATGTAGGGCCTTGCAGACCCGGAATGGCATTGGATTTCATGCCAAACGCAACAGGCAGCCACCGGAGGGTTTTAAGCATAGTTGACATGGTCTGACTTATGTTTTAAGAATATTTATTTAGCTGTTGTGTGGACAGAAGAGGGAGATCAAGATGGAGGCAACTGCATAGGTTCAAGATCATGCAGAGGAGAGAAGTGGGCCGAACTGAGATCTCTTTGATGGGTTGAGCACACAGTAAGTGTGCATTCTTGGGGCCTCCTGAACATGGCCCAGCCTCAAAGTCTCATTTGGAAGTCAATCCAGCTTTGTTCTCAGTGTAAGTGTGTGTCATTATTACCTGGGGTTGTGGCCAGATGCAGATTCCTAGACTCCACTCTCAGAGAGTCTGATTCATCAGTTTTCTGGCTCAAACAAACAAACAAAAAAAGTAAGAAAGACATTTAGTAACTCATGTGAGGAAAACATCCATGTTGCTTTCAGAAATGGCTGTATCCAGATGCTGAAACCATGTCATCAGGAATCTCTCCATTTCTTGGCTCTGCTCTCCCTTATGTGGTCTTCCCTTTAGACAGGCCTTGATATAGTGAGGTTGCCATCCAGCAGATCCCACTTACATCCTGCTAGCTTAGCAATCTTCATGGGGGGAAAAAAGTAAAAAGTTGGAGAGCTGAGCAACTTGGGTTCGCTGCTGCACTTGGAAGGAAATCTGGACCTTGTAAGAAATAGGAGGAATGCATATTGGGGGAGCCTAAAATATGAATGCTGATCACAGTAAATCGGCTGGGGACCAGGAATCTACATTTGAAGGTCCCAGGCCCTCAAGATTCAGACTCCAGGAGATCAAGGGCAGTGTTCCCAGACTCAGTTGATAAGCAGGCAGCCTTTGGTACCCAGTAAACCTCACCTCCATCATCAACTCCCTTCATGATCCAACCTCTGCGTCTCAGATCAAACCGACTTTGGAGGATAGTTAAGAGGAGCCCTGGCCAGTGTGGCTCAGTTGGTTGGAGAGTTCTCCCACGCACTGAAAGGTCTCAGGTTTGATTCCCAGTCAGGGCACATACCTGGGTTGCAAGTTCTATCCCGGCCCTAGTCAGGGTATGCATGTGGGAGGCAGCCCCATCCGTGTTTCTCTCTCTCAGTCTCTCTTTCCCTCCCTCTCTCCCTTCCCTTTTCTCTAAAAAAAAAAAAATCAAAAAAAAAAAAAAAAAA